AACATCCATCTTCAGCAGCTACTCCTGCCTCAAACCATTCCTCTAATGCTTCTAATTTCGTAATATGTAAAACCTCCAGCAATGGAAAGGCACGGTATTTATCATTCCCATTAATTTTACTTTCGAGCCATTTTACTTTCGGCATGTCATAAAGTGTCAGAAACTTGAGGAAGGGAAGTTGCCCGAAAGGAGGAAGAGTTTCCCACTTCAAGCAATCTGTCAATAAGATTTTCTCTAGATTAAAGATCGGATTGACATTGTTCATCCATATTGCAGACTTTGCACCCATGTATCTCTTTATGCTCAAATTTCTTAGACATTTTGGTGGCAGAAGGTTGTCGAGCACGTTCTCATCTAAATCGGAGTTTGTCGAATCATTGCTACTACGACTCCAACATAAGGTTAAATCTGTGAGCCTCCTCTTGACAAACAATTTGGAACTACAAGCCTCCTCAGCATCCTTAACATTTTCAAGGCAATTGATTCCTAATTTGCAAAGATCATTCATATTCTCCAACTCCCCAATTCTATAACCACTCACATCTCTAAGATAAAATATATACAGTTCTGAAAGAGACTTTAGCTTCCCAATCCCATATATTGATGAAATACAATTCATGGGAAATTTCATGTAACGCAAGTTAGAAAGGTTATTAATGTCACTTGGTAAAAAAACATTAACTTCAGGATGGATTGGCCCCTTTATCTGCTCATAGATTATGTATTGCAAGAGATAGAGATTACTTAGAGATCTTGGCAACATAGTCAAAATATAACCATCAATCCTTAAGTATCGAAGATGTATCAAATTTCCAATCTCCTCAGGTATTATTTTCAAGCGTTTTGAAGTCCATATGTATAATAAGCGTAGGAATCTTGATGCTTCGAATATTTCAATGAGTGTATTGAAAAGATCATGATTAGAATCTTCATAGAACAAGAAAAGAGAATGCAAATGTTTCAACTTCTCAATCTTTCTAAAGATGTCTGGTTTTGCATTTAGAACAGCCAAGTGTCGAATAGTCTCAGAAATTTTAAGAGATGACTCTTCATAATCCACAAGTTTACAGCATACCTGGGCAAAAAATTTAGATGCTGACTCATGTATTAAATCATGCATCTTGTAGTTATATCCGACCACCAAATCGTCATCTTCGACCTCAAACTTGTCAAATAAAGCTTTTTTGACTAAAACATCAAAATACCTTCCTCCGATATCCTCCATAGTCATTCCTTGAGACGGCTGAATGAAACCCAATGCAATCCACATTCGGACTAAATCATCTTTATCAAACTCATGATCTTCTGGGAACATACAACAAAATGCAAAAAAATTTCGTAGATGATTTGGTAGAAATATATAGCTCAGTCTTAAGATGGAATGGATAGAATTCTGATCCAATAAATTGCTTTCTAGAACTTCCCTCCAACGCCTTGCATCCAAGTCAAGAGAATTTAGAAGGCCGCCAATGACCTTAGCTGCCAACGGAGATCTTGAAAGCTTTTTAACTATATCTTGAGCAATGACTCTTAAATTTTCATGATCATCAGGGGAGTTCTCTACGCCAGCAAATGCATGAGAGTTAAGCAGCTCCAAACACTTATCTTCCTCTAGGCCCTCTAATTTAACTATTTCCTTCTTCTTTTTAAGAACCTTTGCAAACATCAGTGCAATTGAGTCTGTTCGAGTTGTTATCAGAATCTTACTACCAAAACCACCAGAAGCTAGAGGGGCGAGCACATCCTCCCATTTGCTTTTATCCTTCTCCTCATTCTCCTCCCAAATATCATCCAGCACAAGTAAGAACTTTTTGGACATAATCTCAGTCCGAAGGAAATCTTGAAGTGCATCAAGTGTCTCCAAACGAGGCCTCTCTTTTTTAAGAGATTCCAACATATCTGCAATGACTTTCTTCACATCAAAGTTGTTGGAAACACAAACCCACATTTTACGATCAAATTCCTTTGTAATTTCATCATTATAAACATGTTGCAAGAGAGTTGTCTTCCCCATACCACCATGGCCGACTATAGATAGAAGAGAAATGTTTATGTACAACTCAGTTCCCCGATGCTCATTTGATGGATTCCTCAGCCACTCCGTAACAAGCTCCTTCTCCTTTCCCCGCCCAATGAGATCATTTTTAGGCAAGGCTCCCGTTTCACGTGCTCCGTGCAGCTCAAGCTGCTGCTTCTGATGCTCCT